TGATTTCGGTCAACATTTTGGGAAAACGGGCCCGAATTCGTGATTTGGCAATTTTTGAGGGTCCGTGGGAAAATATATGACCTAGGCGTGTGTCCGGAATCGAATTCCGAGGTCCCTAGCCCGAGTAATGAATTTTTATCTAAAATTGTTTAATTGAAGCTTTAAGGAATTAAAGAAACTAAGTAATCATTGATTCCCTAGGTATCGGGCTCGGATTTTGGTTCCGAAGCTTGGTACAGGTCCGTAATGTCGTTTAAGATTTGCCCGTGAAATTTGGTGTCAATCCGAGTAGTTTAAGGGTGTTTTGACCCGTTAGAGGAGAATTTAGAACTTGAAGATTCAATAGTTTGATTCATTTGGTTTTAGAGGATGATTCCAAGATTTAGCGTTGTTTTGAGTGATCTGAGGGTTCGAGTAGGTCCGCCTCATGATTTCAGACTTGTCGGCATGTTCGGGCGGGGCTCGGGAGCCCCGAGCATCAAGCAAATGAGGTTCTAGCGAAGTAGAAAACTTAGAAAGGGCTGGAGGTTGTTGCTTCTGTCATAACCGCATCTGCGGTTCTTGAACCGCAGAAGCGGGACCGCAGATGCGGTCATGTCATCGCAGATGCGAATAGGAGGAGGCCCAGGGAAAGCCGCAGAAGCGGCCCAGGGATCGCAGAAGCGGTCCCGCTTATGCGATCCCCAGACCGCAAATGCGGTCCAGCTATTCAAGGCCCAAGCCGCAGAAGCGGCCAGGTAACCGCATGTGCGGGCCTCAGACCGCAGAAGCGGTCCAACCCTCCCTCGCCCACTTCCGCAGATGCGGCCACCTTTCCGTAGGTGAGGGACCGCAGATGCGGTCCTCTAACCGCAGAAGCGGAAATCGCTGGAAGGTAATGAATGCATTTAATCCGAGTTCAAAGTCATTTCCCCCATACCTTACTCCTCACTTGGGCGATTTTGGTGGTTCCAAAGAGAGGGTTTCAACATATTATTGCAAGGTAAGTAATCTCCCTCCATTATAAGTTAAATTACATGAACATTAGGTAGATTAAACACTAAAATTTAGTAAAAATCAAGGGTTAGAGCTAGACCTAGGGTTTTAGCAAAACTAAGATTTTAGCATGGAATTTGTTATGAAATGGACTAGAAATCATATATTATTGATCCTTAGGTTGTAAAGAACGATTTCCTTCGAAAAATATCGGAATCCAGGCGCGTGGGCCCGGGGTCGGAATTTAGGAAACTTGTGGGAAAGGTTGGGAAATTACTTAAAATGTTAGAATTCGTCCTTTTAAGCCTTTATTGACTAGTTCTTACCTATTTTAACTAGTTTGCGATCGTTCGGCTTCGAATTAAGAGCTTGGTTGTTCTTGATATTTGGGAGCGCGCTTTGGAGCGAGGTGAGTCTCCTTTCTAACCTTGTAAGAGGGAATTGTACCCATAGGGTAATAACTGAATAATTGTTGCTAAATGCGGGGGCTACGTACGTACTAGGTGACGAGAGTCCGTGCGTAGCTACTATGATATTTATTGTATAGGTAGTTTAGGACCCATATCATGCCTAATTTGGAGGTATCTCTTATTTAAATTGCCATTATGATTATTCATGATATGCTACAGACTTAAAGGAAATATGAAGTGAACATATGAACTTGTTAAACCTTGGTAAGAGCTTCCTGGTATGTGTATGAACCTTCGTGTGCATTCTTGATGTATTCTTGATATGTATGGATCGGGCCGATCGCCTCGGTGAGAATAGACGCATCTATGGTTTGTGCCGTTCGACCCTCGGCAGTGCATATTTGTAATTCTGTTGGAGCGGGCCGTCGACCTCGGTGTGATTGCATATGATATGTATAGATATGTTGATACTTTAACATGACATGCCTACTTGCTTAGAAATTGAAAATGTAAAAGGGGAACTGAAGTAAGGACAAGAATATGATTACTGCTCTTTGTTATAACTTGTTGAATATTGGTGACTTTCATGCTTAGAATAGCACAACGATATTATATTATCTTGACCCTAGTGAGTATCATGTCGACCTTTTGTCTCTACCTCTTCGAGATTAGGCGGGATACTCACTGGGTACATATTGTTTATGTACTCATGCTATGCTTCTGTACTTAAATGTACAGGGTCCGAGGCAGGTGGATCCGGTTATTTCTCTGGTGCGCATTCGTGAGCAGACTTGGGACTTCTACGGTGAGCTGGTTTCCTTCCATGTCGATCCGCAGCCGAAGAAGTCTTTCTTTTGTATTGTTATATTCTTTCTATTCTGATCCAGACAGTAGGGTAGTGTGGTATTCTTTTGGGTTGTATATTCTACTAGTTGCCTGTAGCTTGTGACACTAGATTCTGGCACACACTTTGGTAGATGATTATTTTGGGGTTGTGTAACTATTTTATTATGGTATTTATCTCTCCTGGTTTTAAATTTCAAGTCTAGTGTTTATTCCACTTATTCTAATTAAAAACAATATGATTATTTTAGTAATATTTCCGCAATGGCTTGCCTGACAAGGGTGTCAGGCGCCCTCACGATCAATTGTGAAAATGGGTCGTGACAACATGGTATCAGAGCACTAGGTTCACGTAGGTCTCACGAGTTATGGGCAAACCTGATAGAGTCTTGTTGATCGGTACGGAGACGTCTGTATTTATCTTCGAGAGGCTATAGGGTATTAGGAAAGACTACTCTTTATTCATTTCCTGTCGTGCAGTGCTTAGAGTACTAAACTTCCCTCTTCTATTCTTTCACAGATGGTGAGAACTCGTACCGCTGACGTTCCGGACCCGGGAGGAGCTGCTCCCCCCGTTGCTAGAGGTCGAGGTAGAGGCCGGGGGAGGGCACCGGCCCGTGGTAGGGGACGAGGGCGTCCCAGAGCCGTTCCAGTTGCACCACCAGCAGATCCTATCGAGGACCCTATTATTGAGGAGCAGGGCGAGGTGCCCGCAGCCGAGCCTACCCCGACAGATTTCATGACAGCACTGGGATTTCAGGAGGTCATGGGCCGCATGCTACGGTTCATGGATACTATGACTCAGGCTGGTTTATTTCCAGCAGACCCAGCCATTTCAGAGGCAGGAGGGGGAGCCCAGACCCCTACTGCTCAGGCTCCAGGCCACGCAGCTGCAGTATATCAGACTTCGGGTGCACTACCCGCAGATGGGCTCAGCCAGTTGCTGCAGTGGTACCCCAGCCCAGGCCAGCTGTGGATGGTGATCCACAGAAGCTATTAGATAGATGGACCAGGCTTCACCCTCCAGTCTTCGGGGGTGAGCGTCATGAGGATGCTCAGGACTTCATAGATAGGTGCATGGACAGGCTGCACAACATGAGGATATTGGAGTCGCATGGAGTTAACTTCACTACTTTTCAGCTTGAGGGCAGAGCACATAGGTGGTGGCAGTCCTATGTACTTGGCAGGCCAGCAGGTTCTCCTCCTCTCACTTGGGGTCAGTTCACTCAGTTATTCTTGGATCGATACATTCCGCCCTCAGAGAGGGAAGAGCTGTGGTACCAGTTTGAGCTCCTAGAGCAGGGTCAGATGTTAGTGATCGACTACGAGGCGAGGTTCTCTGAGTTGTCTTGCCATGCACTTATGATACTTCCCACAGAGGCACAGAAAGTGCGGAGGTTTGTTGCGGGATTACATCCCACCATCCGGTCTGGTATGGCTCGAGAGGTAGAGATGGGTACAGGGTACCAGCTAGTGGTTGAGATTGCACGCAGGATTGAGGGTTATCTTCTGAGGGGTAGAGAGCAGATGCAGCAGGATAAGAGGGCCAGATTCTCCAGAGAGTTTAGAGGCGCCCCAGCTAGGGGTAGAGGTCAGTTCGGTAGGGGTCAGTCCAGTAGGCCCCCAGTTTCAGCACCACCACCTGCTCGGGGTGCTCCCGCGCGTTCCTATTTTAGCGCCATGCCGGAGAGTTCTTATCGCCCTCCAGCTATTCAGGGCACCTCCAGTGGGTATTCAGGTCCTCCAAATTCTTCCGGTCCTTATTTCAGTGCTATGACGGAGGGTTCATACCGTCCACCGGCTATTCAGGCTTCTTCCAGTGGATTTTCGGGTCATTAAGGTCAGCCCTCCAGGCAGCAGGTCGCCGCACTGCGGAGTTGCTTTGAGTGCGGGGATCCTGGTCACACGAGGAGGCATTGCCCCAGAATTCGGGGCAAGGAAGTGCAGCAGGGTCAGCAGCCCACGACTCCAGCATCAGCTGCCCAGCCACCTAGAGGTGGAGGGCAGACGGGTAGAGGCCATCCTCGAGGTGGAGGCTAGACAGGGAGAGGTCAGCCAGCTACTACTCAGTCAGGTGGAGGTCAGACAGTCGGCGCTCCAGCCAGGTTCTATGCTCTTCCAGCCAGGCCGGATGCATTGGCCTCAGATGCCGTCATCACAGGTATTATTCCTGTTGGTGGTAGGGATGCTTCGGTATTATTTGATCCAGGGTCTACTTATTCATATTTATCATCTCTGTTCGCTCGCTTCCTGGTTGTTTCTCCTGAGCCTTTGGGTGTTCCTGTTCATGTGTCCACTCCTGTGGGTGATTCTGTGGTTGTGGATCGGATCTACCGGTCCTGTGTGGTCACTTTCTGTGGTCTCGAGACTAGAGCTGATCTTCTGTTGCTCGATATGATTGATTTTGAGGTCATCCTAGGCATGGATTGGTTATCTCCATATCACGCCGTCCTTGATTGCCATGCCAAGACTGTTGCACTAGCGATGCCAGGATCGCCGAGATTGGAGTGGAAGGGTTCCACAGTTGATATGCCTAGCAGGGTTATTTCTTTCCTGAAGGCTCGACACATGGTCGAGAAGGGGTGTTTGGCCTATCTAGCTTATGTTCGAGACGTCACTGCAGAGTCTCCGACGATTGATTCAGTGCCAGTAGTCCGAGAGTTCGCCGATGTTTTTCCTTCTGATCTTCCTGGCATGCCTCCGGATCGTGATATTGATTTCTGTATTGATTTGGCTCCAGGCACTCAGCCTATATCTATTCCTCCATACCGTATGGCTCCTAAGGAGTTGAAGGAGCGGTTAGAGGAGTTGTTAGCCAAGGGGTTTGTCAGGCCCAGTGTATCGCCTTGGGGCGCACCAGTGCTATTTGTGAAGAAGAAGGATGGGACCATGCGGATGTGCATTGATTACCGCCAGTTGAACAAGGTCACCATCAAGAACAAGTACCCGTTGCCTCGTATTGATGATTTGTTTGACCAGCTGCAGGGTGCTAGGGTGTTCTCTAAGATTGACCTGAGGTCAGGATATCATCAGCTGAAGATTCGGGACTCGGATGTTCCGAAGACTGCATTCCGGACTAGATATGGCCATTATGAGTTTCTAGTGATGTCCTTTGGCTTGACCAATGCACCAACATCATTTATGGATCTGATGAACAGGGTATTCAGGCCTTATATTGATTCCTTTGTTATCGTCTTCATTGACGACATCTTGATATACTCGCGTAGCCTGGGGGAGCACGAGCAGCATTTGAGAGTAGTGCTTCAGACCTTGCGAGAGCAGAAGCTGTATGCTAAGTTCTCCAAGTGTGAGTTTTGGCTTGAGTCAGTGGCATTCTTGGGGCATATTGTGTCCGGAGAGGGTATTAAGGTAGATCCCAAGAAGATTGAGGCAGTTCAGAGTTGGCCACGTCCCACTTCAGTGACCGAGATCAGGAGTTTCCTGGGATTAGCAGGTTATTACCGGCGATTTGTGCAGGGTTTTTCATCTATTGCATCACCCTTGACTAGATTGACTCAGAAGGGTGCCCCATTCATTTGGTCCGATGATTGTGAGGAGAGCTTCCAGAAGCTCAAGACAGCTTTGACTACGGCACCAGTTCTTGTATTGCCTTCCGGTGCGGGGATGTATACGGTGTATTGCGACGCTTCACGCGTTGGTCTGGGATGTGTGTTGATGCAGGAGGGGAGAGTTATTGCATATGCCTCGCGTCAGCTGAAGATTCATGAGAAAAATTACCCTGTGCACGACCAGGAGTTGGCAGCGATTGTTCATGCTCTTAAGATATGGAGGCACTATTTGTATGGGGTGCCTTGTGAGGTTTACACCGATCACCGCAGCTTACAGCATTTGTTCAAGCAGAGGGATCTCAATTTGAGGCAGCGCAGGTGGCTTGAGTTGCTGAAGGATTATGACATTACCATTCTTTATCATCCGGGCAAGGCGAATGTGGTCGCGGATGCCTTGAGCAGAAAGGCGGAGAGCATGGGTAGTTTGGCATTCATTCCAGCAGAGGAGAGGCCCCTAGCTTTGGACATCCAGTCCTTAGCTAATAGGCTTGTGAGGTTGGACATTTCAGAGTCCAGCCGAGTTCTAGCATGTGTGGTTGCTCAGTCCTCGTTATTGGGGGAGATTAAGGCCCGACAGCTTGATGATCCACATTTGGCGGTTCTCAGGGAGACGGTACTTCAGGGAGGTGCCAAGGAGGTTTCTATTGGCGAGGATGGTGTTCTGCGACTCCAGGGTCGTCTATGTGTTCCTAATGTTTATGGTCTGAGGGAGAGGATCCTAGAAGAGGCACACAGTTCGCGGTATTCTATCCACCCGGGAGTTACGAAGATGTATCGTGATTTGAGGCAGCATTACTGGTGGCGGGGGATGAAGGACATAGTTAAGTATGTGACTAAGTGCTTGAATTGCTAGCAGGTCAAGTATGAACATCAGAGGCCAGGTGGGCTACTTCAGTAGATGCCCATACCAGAGTAGAAGTGGGAACGCATCACCATGGACTTCGTAGTAGGGTTACCGCGGACTTTGCGGAAGGTTGATTCAGTGTGGGTCATCGTGGATAGATTGACCAAGTCGGCCCATTTCATTCCAGTGGCACTACTTATACAGCAGAGAGGTATGCTCAGATTTATATTCGGGAGATAGTTCGATTGCATGGTGTGCCGGTTTCCATCATATCAGACCGAGGCCCTCAGTTCACTTCCCATTTCTGGAGAGCCGTGCAGAGTGAGTTGGGGACTCGTGTAGAGCTTAGCACAGCATTCCATCCCCAGGCCGATGGACAGTCGGAGCGGACAGTGCAGATTTTGGAGGATATGCTTAGAGCATGTGCGATTGATTTCGGAGGGCAGTGGGATCAGTTCTTGCCTCTAGCAGAGTTCGCATACAACAACAGCTATCAGTCCAGCATAGAGATGGCCCCGTATGAGGCTTTATATGGTAGACGTTGTCGTTCTCCTATCGGGTGGTTTGAGCCTGGTGAGGCTAAGGTACTTGGCACAGATCTGGTACAGGATGCCTTGGATAAGGTAAAGTTGATTCAGGAGAGGCTTCGCACAGCTCAGTCCAGACAAAAGAGCTACGCGGATCAGAAGGCATGGGATGTATCATTTATGGTGGGCGAGAAGGTTCTCTTGAAAGTCTCGCCCATGAAGGGCATTATGAGGTTCGGGAAGAAGGGCAAGTTGAGCCCAAGGTTTATTGGCCCCTTTGAGTGTTGAGCAGAGTTGGGGAGGTTGCTTATGAGCTTGCTTTACCCCTAGTTTATCGGGAGTTCACCCAGTCTTTCATGTTTCGATGCTTCGGAAGTATCATGCCGACCTATCCCACGTGTTGGACTTCAGCACCATTCAGCTAGATGAGAGCTTGGGCTATGAGGAGGAGCCAGTTGCTATTATTGATAGACAGGATCACCAGCTGAGGTCCAAGAAGATTTCTGCGGTGAGAGTCCAGTGGAGGGGCCAACCGGTCGAGGAGGCGACCTGGGAGTCCGAGGAGGACATGCGGAGCAGATATCCCCACTTATTCAGCAGTCCAGGTACTTTTCTATGTCCGTTCGAGGCAGAACGTTTGTTTAAGAGGTGGAGAATGTAACGACGTTGTTTTGCCTTTTAGTACCCCGTTCCCCTAAATAAAGCCTCCCGTACTTGCTTTAACTAAATTACGACTTGTCGGGGCGATTGGTTCGGGGATTGGAAGGGTTTTGAGTAAAAATATGCCAATTTGCTTCTTTAGGATTTCTTAAAAAGATCAAGTTTGACTTCGGTCAACATTTTGGGAAAATGGGTCCGGATTCGTGATTTGACAATTCCTAATGGTCCGTGGAAAAATATGGGACCTGGGCATGTGTCCGGAATCGAATTCCGAGGTCCCTAGCCCGAGTAATGAATTTTTATCTAAAATTGTTTAATTGAAGCTTTAAGGAATTAAAGAAAACTAAGTAATAATTGATTCCCTAGGAATCGGGCTCAGATTTTGGTTCCGAAGCTTGGTACAGGTCCCTAATGTCGTCTAAGACTTGCCCGTAAAATTTGGTGTCAATCCGAGTAGTTTAAGGGCATTTTGACCCGTCAGAGGAGAGTTAAGAACTTGGTGATTCAATAGTTTGATTCATTTGGTTTTAGGGGGTGATTCCAAGATTTAGCATTGTTTTGGGAGTTCCGAGGGTTCGAGTAGGTCCGCCTCGTGATTTCAGACTCGCCGGTATGTTCGGGTGGGGCTCGGGAGCCCCGAGCGTCAAACGATCAGGCTCGAGTGAAGTTAAAAATTTAAGAAGAGGCTGAACTGCTGCTTCTGTCATAACCGCATCTGCGGTTCTAGGGCCGCAGAAGCGGGACAGCAGATGCGGTCAGGCCTTCGCAGAAGCGGCCAAGGGCAGGCCCAGGGAAAACCACAGAAACGGTCATGAAACCGCAGAAGTGGTTCCGCTTTAGCGGAAGTTCGACCGCAGAAGCGGTCCAGCCAAATTGGGCCAGAATCGCAGAAGCGGCCCAAAACCGCAGAAGCAGTTTCCGCAGAAGCACCCTTCAGACCGCAGAAGCGGTCCAATCGCTTATAGCCCAGAGCCGCAGATGCGGCCTCCTTTCCGCAGGAGCGGGACCGCAGATGCGGTCCCCAAACCGCAGAAGCGGAAACCGCTGGGCAGTGAGCTCTTTTAATTCGAACTCAAAGCCATTTATTTCATACACACTCCACACTAGGCGATTTGGGGGCTTCCAAAGAGAGGGTTTCAACATAGCACTTCAAGGTAAGTTACTCCCATTTATTATTAGTTTAAATACATGTATATTAGATAGATTAAACACTAAAAATTAGATAAAATCAAAAGGTTAGAGTTAGACCTAGGGTTTTAATATAATTAAGATTTAAGCATGAAATTTGTTATGAAATGGACTAGAATTTATATATTATTGATCCTTAGGTTGTAGAGAATAATTTCCTTCGAAAAATATCGGAATTCGGGCACGCGGGCCCGGGGTCGGAATTTAGGAAACTTGTGAAAAAGGTTGGGAAATTACTTTAATAGTTAGAATTCGACCTTTTAAGCCTTTATTGACTAGTTCTTACCTATTTTAACTAGTTTGTGATCGTTCGGCTTCGAATTAAGAGCTTGGGGTTTGTTCTCGATATTGGGAGCGCGCTTTGGAACGAGGTGAGTCTCCTTTCTAACCTTGTAAGAGGGAATTATCCCCATAGGTGTAATGACTAAATAATTGTTGCTAAATGCGGGGGCTACGTACGTACTAGGTGACGAGAGTCCGTGCGTAGCTACTATGATATTAATTATATGGGTAGTTTAGGACCCACATCATGCTTAATTTGGAAGTATCTCTTATTTAAATTGCCACTATGATTATTCATGATATGCTACAAACTTAAAGGAAATATGAAGTGAACGTATGAACTTGTTAAGCATTGGAAAGAACTTCCTGGTATGTGTATGAACCTTCGTGTGCATTCTTGATGTTTTCTTGATATTTATGGATCGGGCCGATCGCCTCGGTGAGAATAGATGCGCCTATGATTCGTGCCGTTCGACCCTTGGCAGTGCACATTTTTAATTCTGTTGGAGCGGGCCGTCGACCTCGGTGTGATTGCATATGATATGTATAGATATGCTGATACTTGAACATGACATGCCTTCTTGCTTAGAAATTGAAAATGAAAAATGGAAACTGAAGTAAGGACAAGAATATGATTATTGCTCTTTGTTATAACTTGTTGAATATAGGCGACTTTCATGCTTAGAATAGCACAATTATATTATATTATCTTGACCCTAGTAAGTATCAAGTCGACCTCTCGTCTCTACTTCTTCGAGATTAGGCGGGATACTCACTGGGTACAGATTGTTTATGTACTAATGCTACGCTTCTGTACTTAAATGTACAGGGTCTGAGGCAGGTGGATCCGATTATTTCTCTGGTGCACATTCGTGAGCAGACTTGGGACTTCTACGGTGAGCTGCTTTCCTTCCATGTCGATCCGCAGCCGAAGAAGTCTTCCTTTTGTATTGTTATTTTCTGTCTATTCTGATCCAGATAGTAGGGTAGTGTGGTCTTCTTTTGGGTTGTATATTCTACTAGTCGCCCGTAGCTTGTGACACCAGGTTCTGGCACACACTTTAGTCGACGATTATTTTGGGGTTGTGTAACTATTTTATTATAGTATTTATCTCTCCTTGTTTTAACTTCCAAGTTGAGAGTTTATTCCACTTATTCTAATTAAAAATAATATGATTATTTTAGTAATATTTCCGCAATGGCTTGCCTGACAAGGGTGTCAGGCGCCCTCATGACCTATTGTGA